CTTTCTTTCTTTCTTTCTTTCTTTCTTTCTTTCTTTCTTTCTTTCTTGTGCTTTGAAAAATAGCTTGACCCTATCCTCTCTGTGACAGCCCCTCAAATACCGGAAGACTGCTGTATGTTTTCTTTTGGTTTTTCTTGTCTAAAAGTGTAAGACTTTACTTTTTTCTTTCCAAAACTTCCTAACAGTGAGGACAATTAACCAGTGGAACCGAAGTTGCCTTCAGAAGTTGTGGGAGTGCCATCACTGGAGGCTTTCAAGAAGAGACTGGACTGCCATCGGTCAGAAATGGTGTAGGGTCTCCTGCTCAAGCAGGGGTTGGACTAGATGACCTCTGAGGTCTCTTCCAGCTTCTATTATTCTGTGGTCTACACGGGTAAGATCAGGATGTAGTTTTGGTTGGAAATGACCCCCCAACCTGCCTTATTCTAAGGATTATCTCAACTGGATGCTCTAGAAGGTCTACTCAGGGTTTTGTTTTGGTCCTAGATTTGGTGGAGTTGGCAGAGGAAGGCACTATGCTGGTGGTGCCCCTTTCTCTCCTTCTTGAGATGTTATGGTCGTAAGTTTGAAAAACTAGACATAAGTCCCCTTTTTTCCCAGGATTGCTGTAACGTTGGATGGTCACTTCACAATTGTGTTACTAAGTTAAACAGCCGCAGGGGCTCACTTAGCAACCGTGGCAAGAAAGTTTGTAACATAGGGCAAAACTCATTTAACAGCTGTCTGACGTAGCCATAAAATTTTGGCTCAATGGAGGTCACAAATCAAGGACTGCTACCTATAAGGCTGGCCTGATGTCCCATTGGTGAGTCCTTTAGGTACCTTTGGTGGGCCAACCTGTGAACAGAATTGCCAGCGAAATCAACCCAGATCTGATCTCCACACCTGGGGTCTCCAACGTTACAGCCTCAGGATTCTGACGCTTAGCCCCATTTAAATCACGAATCTCTAGCCAAACTTCGAAAGATTTTATTGGGAGTTAACATGTCTGGCATTGCCTGGGTGTTGCCGACTCTGAGACGTATCATTCATTGTTACTCTTGACCCTGGTTTTCCCCCCAACCCGCTGGGGGTGTCGTAATTCACATTCTCCAATGGGACACACCCATAGCCCAGAGTCATCAATCATTCTCTCCAGTTAGAATTTTGCACTGGCAGAAACTTCAGTCATCTTGCTACTATCTTTGAAAACATTTATGGAATGCGCTTTCGGTTTGCAAACTGTCGCACTGCTCCCCCCCCCTTTCTGTTGGCAACTCTAAAAAGACCAGGGACATATTTTATGAGTGGACATACAGGTGGGCCACAGAAGACCATCAGGGTTAATCAAACCTCACTACCTCGAAGAATGAAATATTTTGGGAAACATTAAAAAAGTAGGCTCGAATATTTCCTCGAAAGAAGAAATGGGGAAAAATCTTAAAGGAGGCAGAAACCGGCCCCAGTCTCCCTGCCCCAAGCAGAAACTGAGGAAGCCAGCTTTTAGAAAGGCAAATGTGGTCATCTATTCAGAAACAACTGGGCCAGACAGAGGCTCCAGATAAGCAACACAATCAAAGGTTGACAAGATTAGCTCAGACAAACACCTAGGACAGTGATGGCTAAACTTTTCAGCACCAAGCGCCCAAAGTGTGCGTGCACCCCCCCAAAAAAAGTAATGTGTGCACGTCCCCTGTGAATGTGCCCCACCCCCATGCATGCCCCCTGTCCCCTCAAAGTACTCCAGCCCCACATAAACACACACATTCCCCATGCATGCGCCCTGCCCCTGAGCATGCAGAGACGCGAAGACCAGCTGGCTAGCAGGAGGCACTGCGTGGCAGACCTGATTTTCATTCCCTCTTTTGCCTATAGAGCCAGCTATGACCCCTACATGACCCCCCTAGGAATCCAGAAGGTATAAAAAACCCACCCGCTCTAAACTCCCTTTTGTCAGCTGCCCCTGAATCACACGTGGTGGGTGGTTCTGCTTCATCAATAAAAGGGAATTTCCCATCAGCCTCCAAGCCTCCATTTTATCTCCAGCGCCTTTCTGCCAGCTTTGGACCTGAACCAGGTGGATTTTCCTTCCAACCAAACCAAAGCTGATTTACACACCTGATAATGGGCGAGGGTATTCAGCCTCTTCCAGTCATTCTCAATCTTGGTGGTCAGATCTTCATCCTGAAGGATCATTCTGATCCCGTTAGTCTGCCGCCATTCTGCAAGGAAAGAGAAACGCATGTCATGCCCGCAAGTGAATGGAAATGTTTTTGGGGAGAACAGCAATGTGGCCTCTGCAGGTAAACAGATTAACAGAGTGGGAAGGGACCTTGTAGGTCATCTAGTCCAACCCGCCGCCCAAGCAGGAGATCCTACACTATTTCTGATGGATGGCAGTCCAGTTTCTTCTTGAATGCCTCCAGTGATGAAGCTTCCACCACTTCTGAAGGCAACTTCTGTTCCGTGGATTGATTGTTCTCACTGTCAGAAAGTTTCTCCTTATTTCCAGGTTGAATCTCTCCTTGTTCAGTTTCCATCCATTATTCCTTGTCTGGCCTACAGATGCCTTAGAAATTAGCTTGACTCCTTCCTCCTCTCTGTGGCAGCCCCCCAAATATTGGAAGACCACTATCAGGTCTCCCCTGATCCTTCTCTTCCCTAGACTAGCCAGGCCCAGTTCCTGCAACCGTTCATTGTATGTTTTAGCCTCCAGTCCCCTAATCCTCCTGGTTGCTCTCCTCTGTAACTTTTTCTAGAGTCTCAACATCTTTTTAATAGTGTGGTGACCAAAACTGGATGCAATACTCTAGGTGTGGTCTTCCTAAGGCTTTATAGAGTGGTATTAGTACCTCCCTTGATCTCGATTGTATCCCTCTGTTAATGCAATTTAGGATTGCATTGGCCTGTTTGGCTGCTGCTGCACACTGCTGGCTCCTATTTAGCTGGTTGTCCACTAAGACTCCAAGATCCCTCTCCCAGTGACTGCTGTTAAACCTGGTTTCACCCAGTCTATATGTGTCCTTGTGGTTTTTCTTGCCGAAGTGTATGATTTTACTTTTCTCTCCATTGAGTTTCATTTTGTTAGAGAGGGCCCAGGGTTCTGTCAAGGTCTTC